CCCTCACAGTTGTAGCACTAAAAAAAAAAAAAAAAAAAAAAAAAAAAACAATATCATAAGGCAATTGCTGCTATGGATATATGGACATCTGTAACAGATCAGACATTTACATTTTATTTTCATAAAAAGAAGTGTTACACTAAGGAGTACCTATCATACTTCAACTGGTGTAAAACATCAGAGCCGCCTTATTGAATCTTAGGCAAAAAAACTAGAGAGAAAAGCAAATGGATTCCTGACCTGTACTAGAAAAATCACAGCTGGCATTCACTTACTCCTGGCAACACTGCACACTCTGAGAAGTATCTGCAGAAGTCAAGATGTGCGATATCTATGAGTCCCGTAAGGCATTGCAAGACTGACAGCCACAGGCATAACTCCTGGAGACATAATGGGATTTGTAGCTTCACCACAGTTGCAGAGCCAAGGTTGCCTACCCCTGGTTTATCTTCTTATAGAGAAAATTTAGAAATGTTATTAGCAGTAGCCTGAAAGAGTATTTTTTTCTTTAATTCCTCTGTAGTCTCAGTTACTTATCTTCCGTGTAAGATTACCTAAGTAATTATAGTCTGTAATTATAGTCTGTAACTGCAAGTCTTATATTGATTGAGATTTGGCAATGTCTTTACTGTACTGCTCGCTGTTTTCCTTGCTGTAGAGAAAGCTGTATCTAAGGACCTGCAGTGGAAGGATCTCCCTGCTTCTGTTTCATTCATTCTGTAGATCTGTGATTTACACTCCTCTCCTGCTTTTTGAATATCACCCAAACAGTCAACAGGTCACCAGTCATTTGCGGGGCAGCTCGGAAAAGTGGAAGCAAAACCCTGTCTTAACCAAAATAGCCACCTACACAAAAATACTAAGGGGTCTATTTATAAACAATTTGTACGGCCATTCACCCTGCAAATATATGTGAGCGTTCGTTTTGAGAGAATAATTGCAAAAATTAATTTTTAGTATGTGGAAAGTTTTTTTAGTATTGTTCATTGTGATGATTAAATAATTATTTGCATGTGGTATATTTATTGAAAAAACTTTTGTGCCGACAGGATTATCTCTAAACAAGAGGAGAAATAAAGTAATGATAGATTGGGAGTTTAAATCCTGCTGAATCAAGCTTATTCATACTTGCTTTACACATCCCCGAAAGTTGTAGAAAGTTTGATCTATTTTTCCTCACCAGTGTTACCTTAATGTGCATCCCCTTCCCTTTCCTAAGTTTACACTACTTGAAAGATTAATCACTGCCACACTGTCGGTATGAATAATCATCTGTGTTGCCCACTCCAATCAGATTCCCTCTCTTCTCCTCCCAATAGAGCATGGGAAATAAAATGGAGAAATTTACTGGTTAACTGGAATCATTGCATCTCCGCAAAGGCTTCTTACCCACTGCTTCTTCTTGGTCTGAGAGATCAGCTGTTTATGTTGCGCTGCCATTTTCTTGACTTCTTCCAGGAATTCCTCTTTGCATTTCTCTTTTACCTGCTTGCACTTTCTGTCCATTTCTGCCTGAATGTTGGCCACAGCTTTAGTAACAGCTTGTCTCTTCTCCTCTTCCATCTCTGTTCGTAGCTACCATGGAACAAAAATGAGAATATCAGCCTATAGAAGAAGCATTGCATATATTAGTACATTGCAAGGAGAATTAGTTTGAGCAGATCGCGGGCAATAAATGACCAGACATTAACTGCCTCCGGGCTGGCCGTAGTAGAAAAACGGCCGGCCCGGAGCTCTCTAGATCTGAGCGGACGTCTTTAGACGTCCGCTCAGACACGCCCCCTCGAGCGCGCCGCTCGGCGTGCGCGAGCGGGAAATGGCCGTTTTTTAAAAACAGGCAGCGATGCCTGTTACCATACAAGCGATCCGCCGGCTTTAGAGCTCCCTCCGGTCCCCTCTCCTCTGCAAGAATGCGGAGGTGTTGTATAATACATCACTTCCGCATTCTTGTGTCACTCTTCAGCTTCAGAAGCTGGAAAGAAGCTGATGGAGCAGATCTGTGCTTCATCAGCTTCTTTTGGGGGGTCCTAGGTGACATTAGGGGTCTTGGAGACCCCTGATGTCTCCATAAAGAGGACCTGTCACATATTTTGCTATCACATAGGGGGGGTTTATTAGCCCCCGTATGTGATAGCAATAAAGTTTAGTGGGAAAAAAAAGGGAAAAAAAATTTAAGTCCCCCCCCCGAAATTTTTTTTAAAGTTACACATAAAAAAACAAAAAAAAAATGTTAAAGTCCCCACCCATACATACACGCATGCAAACATGCGTCGGGGGCGCATATGTGCAAAAAAGATGATTGCGCCCATTACGCCGCACATGTTACATATCGCCGCGAACGTCGCAGTGAGAGCAATAATTCTAGGGCCATCAATCACTGATAACACTAAACTGATGAGCGGTAAAAGCTTTTAAAGTGTTGCCTATGGCCAATTTTGGGTATGGTAGTTTTCTGCGATTTCGCGGGTGCGCGCAATTTTAAAGCTTGACATGTTTGGTGTCTATTTACCCGACCTTTTATATTTTACCAAAAAACTGGGTAATAATAAATGTTTCCTAACATAATGTAAAAAAAAACTTTTTTTTTTCAAAATTTTCTGTAATTTTTCCTAATTAGAATAAAAACCCCAGTGGTCTTTAAATACCACCAAAAGAAAGCTCTATCTGTCCCCAAAAAATGGTGTAAAATTCATTCCAGTACAGCGTTGCATGACGGAATAAATGTCAGTCAAAGTACCGCAGCGCTGAACACTGAAAAATGGCCTGGCCAGGAAGGGGGTCTAAACACCTGGTCTTGAAGTGGTTAATGAGGGCAGTCAGCAGACCTCAGCACACCAAAACAAGAATTAGCAACATACCATGACTGCTTGACAGTCACATATAAAAGTTTGCTTGTGAAACAAAGACCAGCTGCAATTTTACAAGGAGAAAATAGAGACAGCAAGTAATATGCAACTAGACACTGCCCAGTCAAAAAATGCATCATGTAATTGTGCCCATCACCTCAATTACATTATGCCAATTCACAGCAGGGAAAGCACCAAATGTATTATAGGAGCTAGACATATATTTCCCCATGCCTGCTGAGAAAGAAGAGCGGTCAGACTAAAACTAAAATACAAAGCAATGCACATAAGGCAGGCAAAGAAATAGGGGCTGCATAATTATCTGTATTGGAAGGGTAACAGGTTTTATAAAATCATAACGGTGGAGGTGGGTGTTTTATCAAATTTTGTGACTGTGTTAGAATGTGTGACCGGTGACGTGGTCACACATTTTAACGTAATCCCGCCCTGTTTTTCGGCGGTGGAATGTGTGACCGGTTACATTTTAACGTAATCCCGCCCTGAACAGCTGATCGGTCCTGAAATGTGACTTTGTGAGTGCGATCTCACATTGCACAAAGTCAGATAGAAGGGACATTTCAGGACAGATCAGCTGTTCCACGGCAGATCGGTTCTCCTGCACATACGATCTGCACTGGAACAGCTGAGAAAGCGTTGGAATTCTTCACCTTTTGCCGGTCACACATTCCACCGCCGAAATCTAGTAATCTAATCTAGTCTAGATTCTAATCTAGTAACAAACTTTGATAGAACATGGGCAACAGGTTTCTCCCATAACAAGTTTCCTTAAAAAAACAAAAACACTGGACATAATCTGTACTTACGTACTTAGTTGTACAGGCACCTACATATATTATACCCATCCTATATTATATATTTTCCTTTGCCATCCTGCGGGTAGTCCCTGTGACTGTTTCAGAAGTCCCTATACAACAGCTAGAACAGCTGATGGATCTCTGCAAAGGTTCTACAGTTTCACTACATATTTTATGAATTTCTTAAGACGATTGTGAGGAAAACAGAAATACTCTGACCTCTTCTAGGGCATCTCGCACAGCCTTTTCAGTCTCCCTCTTGTTGTCTGTGCTCATTCTTTCCTTGAACTCATTGAAGATCTTGCCGTACTTGTCATGACACATGTTCTGACATCCACCATCGTTATTGGTCTGTGTGCTGCGGTGTGACATTCGTGGGGACGAGGCACTTTGCTTCTTGGTTTGTGTATACACAGACACCTTCTCAGCTGGTGGGGGCATGGAGGGGATTTCCTGGCTCGAGCTTACGGCTTCTGTCTCAGGTTCTGGCTCTGGCTCCTACAAAAAAATGATCATGCATTTAGTCTCCCAGGGACATGCTTTCATCTTTTACTAGTCAATACATTTTATGATAGAAGTGTGCACACAGAATACAGAGGGCTGTATATAATAAAAAGGGCTGCGCATACAGTGAAAACACCTAAAAAACTAAAGTGTAAAGGTGCCCATACACCTTACGACCATCGCAAGACTTCTGTCTTGCGATGGTCGTATGCTTATTGAAAGCTCGTACGATCTGCCCACCTTGGACGGGCAGATCGTACTTGCGATCATCGAAAGCCCGCCCCGCTGAGGGGCGGGCTTCCGATGACCGCAATGCAGAACGGGTAGTGTGCGCATGCGCACACCTGCCCGTTCCCCAGCTATCGGACGTGCAGGCTAGAAACCCGCCGACAATCGTACGATTCTCGGCGGGTTTTCGAGCATGTTGGTTCGACAAAAGACGTGCGACCGTACAGTAGAAACGGTCGCACGTCTTCGTTCACACTGCTCGATTCTCGTACGATCGCGGGATTTCGCCCGATTCTTGTACGAGAATCGAGCAGTGTATGGGCACCTTTAGGACGGTAAATGTTCTACATGGTATGTTTTATCTTTATAAGTCTATTAGCGCCAAGTTACCTACAGTGATGCGAGATTTAAATTGCACCAACCGAAAAGCTCAGTGTTCCCAAAGATCAAACGATTCGGGTGAGCGATTAGGTCATAAGCATCTGAAAGCTTTTCACACCTCTTCTATGGACTTTTTCTTATCGTACCCCCCTTCCCTCCCTTCATTGTTGCTTGTTTAGATTTTTTTTAATTGATATTGATGGCAATGATCCAGTGAAAATCTATATTGCAAACCATTTTATATGCCATTGTGGCCCAGGCATAGCTGTTATATTGCCAGGGCGCTCCACCCTGCAAAGGGTTAATTATTGCAGCCTGGACTTATGTGGGTGGACTGTGGAAGGCCAGGGAAAGATGTTATTGGCTGATGTAGTCTGGGATCCCTCCAATAGATTTGAAGTACACAGGCAGGGAGAGACTGTGTTAAATCAGGCAGATTAAACTACAGAGATCAGAACGCTTTGTGATCTGAAATGAGACCGGTGAGGGATTTTCAGGGATTTGGGAGTGGCTAGACATATTGTTAAAGTGCTGCCTGATGATCACTTCAGGGAGAGAAATAAAACCTGAGGTGTTTGATGCTGCTCACTCAGACTGTCACAGGTCGGCTCAGTAGATCGGGAGGTGAGCGAACACATATCGGCGTTTGCTCACCTCTCGATCCTGTCACGGCTCTCTGCCGTGACAGGGGAGGGGCTGGATTCCCCTCTCCCCGCCAGTGCTGACTGGCGGAACGGATGGGGGAGGGGGCGGCTACAGCTGGCTCTGCCTCTAGGTAGGCAGAGTCAGCTGTCAGTCACGCAGCTGGGCGGATCCAGACATAATTGTTGGGATCCGCTTCAGCTGCGGCGTCTTAGTATACCGCGAGCAGTAGCTCGCGTTATACTGCGGCGTCTCAGTATACCGTGAGCTACAGCTCGCAGTATACTGAGCCTAGGGTGACGGGAGGACGCTAGTTTGTGTCCTCCCGTTACCCTAAGGAGAACTATGGGGAAAAGCCTTAACCCCATAGTTCTCCTTTAATTTGTCTAGTAAACCTTTTACAAAACCTCACAAGGTGTGCTGTGGATCCATTCCTAGTGGTTCATCACAGAGGCGAGACAGAAGTACCCGTATATCCAGCAGCTCCTTTGGGGGTGAGCACTACACAATGTCTTCTATCCATTGTGTTTTTTCCCCCCCATTTTATTAATATATAGGGAGACAATACAGTTATAGTACAATTCAATACAGGAGGCTTAGCAGGGCCCTGCCCATCAGAGATTACAATCTTAAAGGGAAGGGCAAGAGTTAAAAAAAAGACTGTGTGGGGATGAGTTGATAGGTAGAGGCGGGATAGACTTCCCTGAAATGATTAACTGCGCATGTGTACTGTGGGAGAAGAGCAGCAAGGGCTTTGAAAAGGGGAGTTGAGCACGAGATCACTAATGACTATAAGCTGTGCAGGACATAACAGAACACTGCATCAGCTCAGTAAATCAACAGAAATAAAACTAGGAAGATGTGAATGTGACTGAAACAAAATTAAACAAAGGTGATTCATTTGACAGGATACGGTGTAAATCAATGACAGCATTGAAAAGCAATAACAAGAGCTTACTTCCTTCTTGGCATCCACGTTTTGATTGCGTCGTCCTTTCTTGGCCCGCGGTTCCTGAGTTGCTGCTTTCTGCTGGGAGGATGAAGGGGACAAGCTCAGTGCAATCTTGTTATACTGCACAGATCTCAACCATAAAAAAAAATATATGCAGAGACAAGATAATCTGTAAATTGTACAGATCTCGTTCACATTCTGTTTATAGCTCGTCTGGGCCTCAATTAGAGGAGCCAGAGGAAACAATTCATGGACTTGTCTGGTTGCCCAGACGATCTATCCCTTTATGTCTGGAGGAAACTAGGACGAGCTGTGAGGAGGTTGTGTGAGGACTCCAGGTGTACTCCAGGTTATCAGTCACTTCTGGAGCCTGCTGTACGCTTGCATAAATCACTTCATCATCTATTACCTTTAGCGGAATAAACTCATCATATCTAGCAAGAAGGAAGTGCTAATAAGGAAACCAGCTTGTCTCTGCAGCGTGTGCTCAGCATTTCATTAGACGCAAGCCAATGCCTGAACATTGTTTTTTTACATGGTAAGATTGTTTGTTCTGTATCAGCTAAGGTATAACAGTGAATCATAGTCTGTGAATTTTTTTCTTTACACTGTAGCCATGAAAGAAATTAGATATTTAATAAATCACTTACGTAATATAAAAATAAACCTTAGCAAAATTAACCAGAGTATCTGGTTCTCGGTCTACAGAATACACAAATATAGGCATGGAATCTATTTTCAAGAGATCAATAAGCCAGAAAGATCTAATAATTCAAGCAAATAACTACGAGATTAAATATCAAAATGTCATTCCTACAGACATGAATGTCAATGATTTCTAATGCATTACTGTACATATTAGGACAGAGCCCTAAAAAGAATATGGAAACATAATGATATATAAGGGCGCGCTACACTGTTTTAAGTCATATATGGAAACATAAAATTACACAAATCAGGCAACATGCACCAAAATATAGAAATAGTCTTGGTTGGGAAAACAAAAGAACTGAAACAAGAAAGAACGTATTGTACATCAGGGGTGTGGACATTTTTGAAAAAACTACTTGTCCAAGGGCTAAAGCGGGGGCCAAAGCTACTTGTCCTTCATTACAATCTACTTGTCCTGATACAAAAAAAAAATAGTTTTAATTAAAACTAGGGATGCACCAATACCGGTTTTTGGGTATAGAGTACGAGTACCGATATTTTGCTTTCGGTACTCACCGAGTATCGGTGCTCCCGTTTGCATGGAGCAGACTTCCCGGGCAATCAGGAAGCTGGGCAGCGGGTAATGAGATGCTACCCGGCTTCCTGACTGCCAGGGAAGCCGACTCCATGTTGTTTGGCCGGCTTGATTGTAAATGGCATGGAAGCCGGTTTCCCGGCCAATCAGCATCGAGCCAGCTTCCTGGCCAATCAGGAAACCGGGCGGCAAGTAATGACCTGATTGGCCAGGAAGCCGGCTCGATGCTGATTGGCTGGCTTCCCAGCCAATCAGCAAGGAGCTGGCTTCCTGGCCAATCAGGAATTATTAGTCGCTGCCCCGCTTCCTGATTGCACGGGAAGCTGGCTCCATGTTCCCCTACGGCACTGCCGGTCAGAGCAAATCTTCCTCTGACCAGAAGTTCCGGTATTGGAGAAGGTATGGAGCATTTGGGCGAGTACAAGTACTTGCCCAAATACTCTGTATCTGTGCATCCCTAATCAAAACTGTATTGGTCTGTGCTAAATAGCGCTTCTCATTGGTCAGCGTGGTCCACAGACCACGCTGACCAATGAGTGCTTGCAATTTGGGAGCTAAATTCAAAATGCATAGGGCAGGACTGCACTGGGCAGGACTGCACTGGACAGTACGGGGTAAGGACAGTACACCTGTACCGGCGGAGGGTAAGGACTGTTTGCCGAAAGGTAAGTATAGCCGGGGGGTTTTGGGAGAGATGGGGGTCAGATTTGATTGGGTAATTCCATTTTCCCATATTACCTGGGAAAGTGAACTTGCCCTTTAATGCACATTGTGCGTGTGTGAGAGTTCTGCTGCCTCGCTACCACAATAGGGCACAGTGAAATGGCGGGTGGGGGGTTGTTCTGGTGGGCGGTGTGGACAGAATCGCCGCTTCTCGTTTCATACAAGTGGTCAGATCACTTGAAAACGAGCGGCGGCTCCACACTGTACACTTAGCTCTGCTTGTCCGGAGCGGGGCTAAGTGTTCAAAAAAACAACTCGCCCGGCGCCCGAAACTACATGTCCCAGGCGTCGGGCGATAGGAATTCCACACCCCTGTACATATATAGCTACAGTATGTGTATCCTTACACGGGTGTGAAGATCTGATATGCCCATGTCTGAACTGACGGTGGACAGGCTATCTACAGACCCTCTTTTCAGGTCTATGGTGACCAGAAGTACTTTAGGTTTAGGGCACCTTATGTGTTAGCGCAGGTTTACACATCACCAAAAATGTATACAATTACTTAGGCATTCTAGATAGACAGACAGACAGACAGATAGATAGACAGACAGATATGGGCATTAGTTTGAAGCACCACAATTCCATTTATATCTGCACAACATTTCAGAAAAACTAAAATACCACATTTATGGGGCTGTCCAGTGAAAATGCTGCAGAGACAAAATCACACCAGACTATCAAATCCAAATTTGTTTGTGAACAACAGTTGCACTGGCGATAGAAACAGCTGGAAATTGAACATGGAACCGCTGTATCCAAATATCAGATGTATTTAAATATCATCAAACTTTCCCACAAAAGAAGTTTGGACCTCAATCTTACAATACTCCCTGGCCTGAAACAACTGCGTTTTATAAAAAGAAATCATTTAATAAATTAGGAGATGAACTAAACTAAGCCAATAACCTGAAAATTAATTCTATTAAACAGCAACTCCAGGTTACAAAATGATCACACTGCAAATGCAATCCAGCCAAACATACAAGTAGTACTAAGAACTGCTGTTTGATCCAAAGGTATTCTAGTTCAGCATCTTCCTAACATAGCTGAGGCTCTCCAGCAGTGTTCCACACTATACCAGCCTCTGCCTAGACAGGCATTCTTGGACTTGAAGTTCTTCAATAACTGGACACACAAGGTGATGATCAGTAAAATGCTGCTCAGCAGTGCCACAACTGGGGGATTAAAGGGAAACTGTCTACATTCATTTTGGTTTTAGCTTTAGAAAGGAATGAAAGTATACACTTGGGTTGAATGATGTTGAAAATACATTGATGCTTGTTGTACTTGCATATCATACTCTCTCTAATGTCATTAAGGACGTACCAGATAGGACTCTGTTCCTAGACCTAGTGAAACCAAAAGTAGGGAAAACAAAGGAAAAGTGTAGTATGCCTATATACAGTATACAAGCTGTTGAAAAGGACCTAGTGTCAGCTATCTGTTCATAAGTACATGCATTCTAAGGAATGTGCTAATGTTAAGTGACATCATCTTAGCCTAGCCAAAGTCACTAAACTAGAGCTCTAAGACTACTTTTTAACGACAAAAAGGTACAGCTTATTTGACAAAGATACTGTTGTTCTATATTGTGACATGCCAGGAAGGTATTACTTAGAGCTGCAGCTAACGATTATTTTCAAAATCGATTAGTTAGCCGATTATTAAGTTCGATTAATCGGTTAATCGGATAAACAATAAAATACATTTTAAAAAATGGCTCCAGTGATGGACTAGTGTGGTGTGCAATATAGTGAAAAGGAAAGTGTAAAATTATACAGCAATCAATGCAGAATGGCACCGACTATAGAGGACTACAAATCCCAGCAATAGTACATTATACAGCGCAATGCAGAATATCAACAGCTATAGAGGAATACAACAAATCCCAGCAATATCGGGCAGGTCTGGCAGCGGCGAGCGTGAGGTGGGGAGGAGGTGCGGCGTGCAGCGTGTGTGGAGCCGTGAACAGGGCCAACTGATCGGAAGCCGATTAATCGATTATTGAAAAAGTTGACAACTTTTTCAATAATCGATTATGTCGATTAGTTGTTGCAGCCCTAGTATTACTGATGGATCCATCTTAATTTTCATGTGTGGCTGAAGATAGCTTATGACAGTACAAACGCAGAAATAAAACCTAATTATATCCAACCAACTTTGCTTCTTTCCACCACCTAAAACTATTCAGAACCCACCACGGGGTCAGCTTCTAGTAACCCTCACAGTTCAGAGAGGCAATAATACATTTCTTCTCATGGATATCCAGGAACAGTAAACAATCTGTATTGTATAACGCATTATCTATGCAATCTTGTTTGAAAGAAGGCAAGCCCCAGCTGCCAAGAAAAGAAAGGATTTTAAGCAAAAAAAAAAAATGTTTTTGGTAAATTCTATTTGCAGATCACTTGCCTGTTCATTACTTGTGGATGAGATACTAGACTCTGCTTCTTCTTCCCCTTTGTCTTCTCCTTTGGATTTCCAAAATCGTCCTTCACGTAGGAAGCGCTGATGTAGTTCCATCTCATCACAGGCTTTTTTCCAGCCCATGCTCCGCTTTACATGTAGCTGATGAACATTGACTGTTATTTCTTGTATGTTCTCTGAAGGGATCCAGGCCCTGTGTTTATGGGGGTTTCACAAATTTGACTACAGATATGCAACACTGTCACAGTTCTTGTAAACAGACACTGTAAATTTTTATTCCAGTCCAAACAAGCTTTTCTACAATTTTTAATGTCAGAGTTCCATAGCTAAACTATAGATAAACCACCAACACCAGCTGCTTACATACCTCTGCTGGAAGACACAGCTTTGTTGACATCCTCCAGGCTGTAATCCTCTTCAGTATTGGCTGTGCATGTGCAGTGGGCCGTCAAAGATTTGTATGCGGCCGTTTTCCAAAATTGGGGCAGCATGAGAGGCAGGCCTATACAATTCGACTCGCTGTGCAGCACTGGAGACGATTCAGCAAAGCCATGACTTTGTACCTTCCTGAGGTTAGAACACAGCTGGGTAGGGGATTTTACTATAGTTGAGCTCATGAGAGATAGGGAGGGTAGTTTAGCGCCATTTGATTGATTTTTGTTTTCTGAAATTGTAAACCGATTTGCAATTTTCAAGGCATTTCAGCAGGCTATTTTTTTATGTAAATTTCATCTCTACTTATAGTTTTATCATATATATTTTTTCTCTGCCCAGATTTGTGAGGGGCTTCTAATGTTAGGTAAATCAGAGAAGCCCTGATTGATTGCTGTCCCGTACATGCATCCTTCGTAGATATCAAGTACAGTATAAGGATTTGTCAATACAGGACTGCAGAAGTAGAGCAGCACGAAGAATAAGGTAATTATTTTATTTGAATATCTTTATTGGGGAGTCTTCACAACAACTTCTTGTGACTGTTCACCAATAAAGTTGTGCAAATTAGATACCTACCTTACTCTTTGTGCTGCTTTTCTGCTGGAATCTTATCTGTTAAAACTCCTATATACTTAACATATGAACCACATCAAGTGTTTAATCAGTCACATGACAACACATTCTGACGTTTCCGGGCAAATGTGTGCCTCTTCCCCAGTTAGACAGTGTCGAACCCTTATACACTCCTGGAACATTGCAGATGAACGCATACTGTTATCTCTCGTCTTGACTATTGCAACTCCCTCCTCATTGGCCTACCTCTACACAGGCTATGCCCCCTTCAGTCTATCATGAATGCAGCTGCTAGACTCATCCACCTAACCAACCGCTCAGTATCTGCAACCCCCCTCTGTCAATCCCTACACTGGCTTCCTATAGCCCAAAGGATAAAATTCAAAATATTAACAACCGCGTACAAAGCCATCCACAACTCTGGCCCCGGCTATATCTCCAACCTGGTCTCAAAGTATTACCCTAACCGTCCCCTCCGCTCTTCACAAGACCTCCTGCTTTCCAGCTCCGTCATCAACTCCTCCCATGCTCGCCTCCAGGACTTCACTAGAGTGTCTCCCATTCTATGGAACTCTCTACCCCAACCTGTCCGTCTATCTCCCACACTGACTGCCTTTAGGCGATCCCTTAAGACTCATCTCTTCAGGGAAGCCTATCCCACCTCAACCTAAACACTGAAAAATCACTTTCTCAACAATCACCCCCGCACAGCTACCTCCTCATGTATCACTTGCCCCTCCCTTTTAGATTGTAAGCCCTCACGGGCAGGGCCCTCCTTCCCATCTTGTCTTAAATTGTATTGTGACTGTAATGTCTTCCTTATATTGTAAAGCGCTGTGCAAACTATTGGCGCTATATAAATCCTGTATAATAATAATAATAATAATACTGCCATTTCCCTTTCTATAGTCAGACTTTTAACTTTTAAGCAAACAAGCACCATCCTTAAAGAAAAAATTAAATCTTATGCAGCATCAGACAATGCTTATGCCTCTTTCGGTTCCATTAGCAACCGCTCTAAAGTGACAGATATTACCCCTTAAAGTTATGACTGAAGGCTTTTTTTCTACTTTTGACTGTGTATCAGTGATTAAACTTACACCCCTCTCCTAAATTCCTGGTGCCACCTTTTGCGTCTGCCAAGTTCTCCCAGACACTACCCACTACCCAGTCCCTCCTAATTCCGTCCAGCACTTGTGAACCAGCCTCATAAAGGCTGATCCTGCACAGTACTGTGCAAGTTCCGTGGAGGCTGCATTCCACAAACATGCCCCACTGTAGTAAAATATACTTTTGTTAGTACCTTCTGGCATTTCTGGATAGAACCGGGAAGTGCTGGGTAGTCCCGCCCTTACACCCTTCAGTCACAGGCAGCTGGTATAACATTCTGCTACTGCAAAAGCTAACAAGGTCAGCAAATCTGCATTATGGCAGTGATTTCTACTGTGAAATGCTGAGCTGTTGCATGTAAAATATTACATACACACTTGGTAACCAACGTTGTACTTTTAATAGTTCAGTCCAACTCTTTATGCCTATCTCTCTATAGTTCATAAAAATGTACGAAGATGCCAGTGGGCATGCCTGTTCTATTACTATTCATCTATGTATCAGCAATTACACAGGGCCCTCTAATACTTGTTAGGCCATGTGTATAGCAGATCATCTGTCTCTTAACTTTGTTCACCTAATATGTGCAGTTTTCGTGATATTCTTGTTACCTCTGATGATGATGGCCAAAGAATCGAACATCTACTTGATTGTCGTCTTTTTGCATGACTTTGGCAGGCCAGAAGCCAAAACCTTTCATCTTGGCCCAAACCAGCTCATGGTTTGGGATCTGCAAGACAAAGTAAAAAGCTCTACGTTCGATTATGCGCAAAGTTATAGGAGAAAGTACAGTGTTTTAAGCGCTCTTTCATGGTCGGAGGAAGGAATTTGGTGTCTTGTGCTGGTGTGCGGCTCCTGTTAAATCCGGACTGGGGTGTTCGACGTGTGTGCTGAGAAAACAAAAAATAGGGAACGAAGCACCACGACCTAGGGCGATGGGGTTGTATTCTTCCTTTTTGGGCACCTCCACCTTCTCCTCCTCCTTCCACTAGATTAGAACATCGGGAGACAAGGTTGCTCTCCCCCCACATGGGACATCCAAGAACACACTAAGACGTTCTCCCCCTGCACATCTGCCTCTCACGCTACCAGGCTTCTCTTCCACCAAAATCCTTCACCAGGATCTCTGCACAAGCAAAAACCTGCCCAAGGATCACTCCCAGCATCTGAACAGCAGACTGGCAAGGCTCCAACCCAACGGATCAGACGAGGACACCGCCTGCTGAATCACCACCAGCTCCATATCGCACCTCCGTTGTCGACATCATACCTCTTACAACTAAACGGTGAGTTACAGAAGTCATTTTTGCCTTTGTTCATCCTCTAGCCTCACCAGTTTGTTTTTTAGTTTTCATCATTTCCACTCTGGTCTATCACGCCACTGCCCAGAAAGGAAGAACACGACCCCATCGCCCTTCATCACCACGCTCTTCTCCTTATCTGCGTGTTGAAGCGAGTGCTCACCCACCAGGTGA